CTGTGGACAGATCGAATGACTGCATTTTGGTATGCGACAGTGAGAATAACTGTGTACATGTTTTTAAATTAGATGGTACATATGTTGTGAAATTTGAAACAAAAAAGACACCGGTTGGGATTGATCTGCTCAAAGGGAAAAAAGTAGTTGTGTCTTCATATTATGGGCATTGTGTTCAGATTCTCTCTTACAGGAGCTAGTTGTCAAACCAACAAATTACAGGATTGCAAAATTATGCGTGGTTTCAGTAAATAATCCAAAGTCAACACAAGGTCATTGAAATTTCCAAATGAGAGGGGGTTGCAAAGCTACATTGTAGAATTTCCAGAGGGGTACAAGTGGATGAGTGAGACGGATATTTTCTGAAATAGCACATTGCTATATTTGAGCCTGTGAGCTTACAGTATAGACTTTGTTCTTTAACAATAAGTACCTAGCAAGGAAACTGCAGAAATGATGGATTTTCTCATAATTTAAAGCTTGCACAATCATTATCAAACAAATTTATGGTGCAAGCCCCATCTCTTGACTCCCAAATGTTGTAATGGTTTGTCATCATTGCCACTCTTAGCCACCGAGTGTTTTCAGTGAAAAGAAAAAAATTGGCATCATTTTAGACAATTCTGTTATGTGATTCACAGTTACCATGACAACACTTGTGCTTGTTTTGGATGAGCTCACTTCATACAGGAAAGAACAGGCTTAGCTTGCCGAGCTTTCTTTCTTTTTTTTTTGNGGGGGGAATTGAGGAGGTAGGAGCAGAAGTAGATACCCAATAAAATATTTGACAGATCTTTTTCCTCTGCACCAAGAGTAAACTAATCACAGGGTGGTTATGTGGGAATGCAGTTCATTGTGATTTGACTGAAAAGATTCTTTAGGTATTCTGTTTAATTTAGTTGGTTAAACACGCTCATTGTCAAGGTAGTCACGAGTAATATTACTTTGAAAAGCAACCCTAAAGCTTAACAAACTAAACCTGACAGTTGTCTCCTGCCCTCAGCTCTGTGACTGATATTTCAGGGCTAGCTAAAGTTGCACAGACATTTGAATAATATTAAAGCACTTTTTTTACGATATACATGTAGTTTACAACTCTGTACTAAGGATGGCTGAAAGCAAACTAGTTTGAATGTTCAAGGACCAAATAATCACATTTTGTATCAAAATGTGCACAAACAAATGGGATCATGATCACGAACAAATGTTATGCAGGGACAGAATCATATCACCTCAACGAGGTGATATGCTTCTGGTAGGGATAAATAAGCTGCCTGCACTTGATATTTGAACAAATTCTCCCAACGTGGGCTATAGGAAATGGTTAATAGAGAGGTTTGAATCTTTTACAAATACATGACATTGATACTAAGTGAAATATTTAAATGTAATTGTGGGTATTTGTTTTGGTCTAGTATCACCATTATTTAATTTTTCATTGTGGTATTGTTATTTAGACAAATAAATGAAACAACATAGAGCATATATGTACCTAAGGGGCCATTCAGTAGTAGATTTTCAGCTGACTAAGGAATAAGCAATGATTGGCAAAGCACAGATTTAATTTATAATTTTATTGATTATTTTCCTATTACATTATTTTAATAATTTCTAGCTGCAATATTTCCAATAAAAGAAGAAACAAATATCGTGCCTCTTGTTATTTTAAACCTTATTTTTACGATCAACAAATAATCTGGTTTTTTCTCAAACAAAACACAATAAGGGAAAATGTTGGACAAACATTCTTGTGTTACCAATTAAAAAATACATAGGTATATACACACTAGTGTGGAGAGTTAGTAAAATTAATTGATCACTGTTTTTCTACTTTTAGGTAAAATTGTTGACAATTATCCAGCCATCATGCATGAACAGTACCACAAGGCAATAAGAAACTTTGCTTAGTATAATATATTTTTGGTTGTAATGTTGTGTACAGTCGAACCTCGATTATCCAGACTCATTGGGACTAGGCAAAATAGTCTGGATAATTGAGATAATCGAAAATATAAATATTAATGAAAAAAAGAACTGATTAAATTAAGAAAGCAACATTTAACCGTGAAACAACACTTTTACAAATCAACTATCCGTTGTGAATACCTGTACATGTGTGTATAACAATTAAAATAATGAAAAATGTTTTTGCATAGGCCTAAAATGTTGCTTTTGACTACACTCTTCAATGCTGTAGATTTAAAAGGAACATTGCTACAGATCTTGATCATGACTAATAAATATTCATGACAAAATTGGGACTAGAGAAAAAGTCCAGATAATCAAGAAATCCCAATAATTGAGGTTCAACAGCGTCTGTACCACCAAAATAAGACAATATTGAAATGCAGTATTCAAAACTAAAATATTCTGTAGATAGAACAATAATTTAAAACATTGTTTTAGAATGTTTTCTCTCATCATGGTAAAACAAATGCAAATAATATCTAAAAACCTGTCTTCCAAAAATTCAAAGCCATAAATGAAAAAAATCCTACATTTTTGATATTTTGCCAAATCCCATACATGTCATAAGTATCACAATATTTATATATTTTGTACATGTACACATGTATTTCACCAATCAGTACCTGTGTCTTTTATACATCAATATATCCTCTTTTGTAATCTAAAAATATTAAAGATATGCCATTAAAAATTTCTTAATTTACCTTGAATTGATGCAAAACTGATCATATAATTTTTATTACTTGTTATTTTGCTGTTTTTGAGCTACAGTGCTTGTATTTTTAAGAGATTCTCATTCATGATTAAATCATCACCACTGAACACTTGTGTGGACTCCACCCTTGAATCATGTTTTGTTATTGAATGCCACAAGAAGCAAAAGCTGTCCAATGAAACCAGATTTCGCGACACCAGTTCTTTCATATCTCTAATGCAGCAAGAGCCATTCCATACCTAGTATGTTGCAAAGATGAACCATTCATCCATTTTCCAGCCCTGGTATCAAAACACTCAGTTGAATTCAAATTCCTTAGACCATTAAACCCGCCAGCAATGTAAAGGCAGTTTCCCAAGGCACTTACTCCAGCACTGCTTCGTGGGGATTTCATTGGTCGAATGTTGTACCATCTACCCTCCCGTGGATCAAATCTCTCAGCTGTATTTAACCACGATGAGCTGTAGCCTCCAATGGCATAGATCGAACCTACAGGAACGAAGTTACAGTAAAATATATAGTGTTTTGAAGTAAAATAACATCTCCCAACTTTAATTCTTATAACAACATTGTTTCTTTCTACATGTATGTTCCTCAGTACAACAAAACTTTGTCAAAGACACAGTGTTCTGTAAAAGCAGATGGGAAACAGGTGCAAGGTCCTGCCATGGGTGGGGAGTGGGGTTGAATTAATTCACTTGTCTGAATTTTAAATTCGTTATAATTTGAATGTCACAATCACTGCTTCATCAATATTCCCCTGTCAGAAATTGAAAGGAGATCATCAAATGTTTGTTGATTATTGTGATTTCTTGTTGGGCCATGCATATTACTAGTAAGACAGAATTTGCCTTAGCAAGCTAGTCTGAGGTGTTATGCAAGTGAATATCCAAACTAGGGAAAATAATAATATTGTGTCAAGATGACAGCTAAATGTTTGGCAACCTGGAAATTGAAGGGTTGCATGAAAAAACACCCTAAGTGACATCTGATCAAGCATGATAGACTGCAAGATTCTCGTAGCAAATTGTTTTTCTCTTCCTTGGACAAAAAAGGAGAATTTGATGTTAGATGAAGAGTCACTTAGGCCTTTTTTCCACACACCCCTTCAATTGACATATATAAAATTTTACACTACCATCTTTTTGAACTGTGCCAAGATAAGCCCTTGGCTGTGACAAGGGTGCCACCGGTAGCCACTCTCCCCTCTGAGGCTCCAAGCTTTCAACTGACGTCAACCAATCATCTGCATTACCACGCTCTCCACCAAAACCACCAATGGCATACACAGTCTCTCCTAATGACACAGCACCAAGATAGCTCCGCTTTGCTCTCATTGGTGCAATAAATGTCCACCTGTCAATAACAGGGTCATACATCTCGACAGATGACAGATAGCCTGATGTTTTGCTATAGCCTCCAATAACAATGGCTTGGCCCTCCAGGACTGTCGCACCAGCACCCATGCGATCCACAAGCAATGGTGACAGCTGGCACCACTTGTTTCCTGGCCATTCGTACCGTTCTACAGAATCCAATACTTTCCAGGAAGAATGACCACCCACCACATAGATGTGATACCCAGTTGACGCCGCTGCCATGTAGGTGCGTTCTTTATTCATACAGGCCAGTGGCATTGAATCATCAAACCTCGCTGGAATATCCCAACTCCAGCTGTTCCAACCTTGACCAAAACACTGGCAGCTACTGAGGGTGATACCTTCTGACTCTCCACCAATAGTCAGTAAAATTTCACAGCCAGTTCGACATGCACGCTGCAGAATTCCAGGAAATTCACCACCATCGCGCAAATTCGAAGACTTCATAGTTTCTAGTGCTTCTAAAATAAGCTGTTGGCATTCAGAACTCGCTTGCACGATTGAATCCTCTAGGATAACATTGCTAAGAAAATCTGGGGCAACATTCATCAGACAAGATCGCGTGAAAAGCGAACAGGCGTGCGCTTGGCGTTCCGAAGGGCAGAAGTTCAGCCATGCTAGAACTCCGCTCAAAACTTCCTCTTCGTTAGAGGTGTTAAGAAATTTGCTATCTAGCAAACACTTCAATGATCCATAGGGTTGAAGTAAGAACTCTTCTTGTTTTAGAACATCTCCAAAGTGGTCAATAACGAACTGGTGAGATATGTCGAAAAGTTCATGACAGGAGAGGGTCTCTGCAAGTGCTCGCATACCCAAACAATTAGAAACATCTAATGCTTGCAGAAGAAATTCGCAGCAAGCTTGTTTTACTTTGTCGATCTGTAGAAGAGCTGAAGCATACAAAACAGACTGCACGTTAAATTCGTTGATTTCCACCCGGCCGGTGTAAGCGTACTGCACGATCGATTCGATTGCTGCCGCATCGAAATCGTCCAGTACGACGCGATTTTGATTACTTTCTGCAAGCTTTCCGAGAAACATTGCTCTGAAATATGAACTAACAGCAGCCAGAAGTACTCGATGTGCTCGTATTTCCTTGTTGTCCACGCATAACAAGATGTCACAAAGAAGTCCTTGGTCTCGAAATTCAGCAAGGCATTCGAAGACGTCGTTTGAGTTCCCACGGTTAAGGTAAACAAAAGGCTTTGAAGCAGCTCCTTCCATCGTTTCTTTAGATCACAGCAGTACAGGTAAATCCACAGCAAGGATCGTGAGGGCATATGATTTATGCTTCCTTCAAGTTCAAATGAAAAAAAAACCAGAAGATCAACAAGACGATGGACAATGGAAACCTGCAGGAAACCGGTAAGCAACCGGCCGAACAGCAGAGGCAGATTTCGCGAAAAGCTTTCGTTGTAAACTAGAAGACAGCTCCCTGAAAATGTTAAATGACTGAGGCAAAGTTATAAAATATTCATGTGTTGGCCGATTTCGTGCCAGCCTTGGCTTGTGCGAAGACTGTTTTCCTAGCTAACCAAGCGCAAGGTGATTCCCTTGTGTGAACCTTGAGTTGATTTCGAATGCAATAAGCTGATTGGCCGAAAATTTCCTGTGTACCAGCCTTACGAACCAATCAAATCAATGGATATTTTGAGCGTTGGGTCAATCACTTCCGATATTTTAAGCTGCTGTCATTTCTTTGTTTACAATGGAACAACTGAAACAAAAGATATGGCCAAGTTCTTTTTTTACGTGTTTATGGACCGAGACGGAGTCGAGGTCCGTAAACACGCAAAAAAAGAACGAGGTCAATATCCAGCTATCTTGACGGAAAAAGCTTGGTCAAAAAAGGATTTACATGTATTATATGGACAAAGAAATCTACTTTCTTTCGGGACATAGCGGGTCATCCCGAACGGGCACGATAGTGCCATCTTGCCGGCTCGGGTAGCCAATCACAGCGCAGGATCGATTCGGTTAACGTTCATGAGCTGGCCATATAACAATGAAGCTTATCAGTGTTGATATAATGATTAAATGAATGCGCGCGCTCACGAGCGTGTGCACGTACAAAACATAAACCAAATGGTGGCTTTTTTTAAACGGCTTGGCTTGCGAGAGACAAATCATCGTTTTTTTCCTCGGAAGCGAGTACCGGGACCTAACGATCTTTTTTTTTTTTGTTTAGTTTGAATGTAGAGATCACCTTCTCTCTATACAGTGAATATGGACCAATTTCTATTGCAGAGTAAAATATTATCACCGAAAGTGAGAGCATAACTAGCACTCGTAAAAGATAATATGTGGTCCCAGAACACTGCATGCTTGGAACATATTGCATCCCTGTCGACTAAATATGAGTGCCTTTATTTTATAATGACACGTACATCAAAATGCTCCTTAACATTTATGCAATACATCCATTGTTGTATTTCTCTCTTAACTTTCTCCCTATTTTTCTGCTCTCTTAAAGCGTAAGGTGAATGGTTCAAATATAAACGTTTCTCAAAGCAGATAATTTCAGGAATTATGGGGTTTATTGAATTGAACTGAGGTTCTCCTGCTCCTAAACGAATACGGGAACCCCCCTTTTTATTTCAAATTTTAAGTTCTCTTGATATAAGCAGCCAACATGTAAAGTTTGAAAGAAAATCTACTGTGAGTTTTATTTCGATGGAATAACCTTAAAAGAGGGACGCTGTCGACAATCGTAATCATTCACATCTCTGGTTCACACACATAAAACGATAAAAAGAGAAAGAGGAGGCTTACGGCTTTAAATCTTAGCTTGGAATAAACCGGTTAGGATGGCCGTAGAATTTCACCAACCGAACCGAACGAGATGGCGCTCTTATTTGATTTACAGAAATTGTTTGTGGCTGATGAAATTTTGGAAGATTTAAATGCTGAAGAAGGAGAAATGTAGCTCTCCGGAAATTTTCGCCGTTCCGTTCCGAACAGAAACAGGCGACCACAGCTGAGGGTAGTCTACATTTTCCGAAGGCAAATTGTTGTTCCCGGGATTTGTCTTTCAACCGAAATTTCCGGTAGGCTAAATGGTACTCACCCTGCAGGTACTCAGCTCAGTGGACTATCATTGTCAAAACCACTGAGGCCAGTGAGCTTGCTTACCAGTGAGCTTAGACCTTGTTTGATGTCAAATTACGTCACGTAGCTTCACGTGTGTCAGTGGCTGGACGCTCAGTCAGATGGTGGACGCTCTGCTCCACCAAGAGGAGAGACCCTGGGAATGAGGTTGATTACAAACTGGCGCTTACAATAACAGCAGCTACGTACATGTAGATATAGTACTGTGAACTGGGCTGCATCTATGACGGGTCGAACCTGGTGGGATCCCACGTTCCCATTTCGGCGAATCGAACGAGATCTTCAGCTCTTAGTTTCTATTACGTTCAAATCGGCCAGAAAAGAGAAACAACTATCACTCTTATCACATGTCACTGGTATTTTAACACTGCTGTGGTAATTAGGAAAACTGTAAATCGAGAAACAAATATTACAAATAAAACAGAAAACATGTTAAAACACAACTAGTGGGAGGCTGACCAGTTGGCTATTTACAAGCCCGAATAGCTCTCGCTCCACTTTTCCCGCGGCCCAAATGCGAAAAGCCCCTCGCGCTGCCCGATTTCGTTCGGCTCGTACGGAAACAATTGCTTCAGAGGCTAAAAACGTGGAGGAAGTTGAATTTACGACCCCTGAACTCAAATCCACTTTCTAGCAAGGTAAGGATTCGGACACAGGACCCGAAATCAAAAACCAGGACCTAGCCACTAGGCCACACCGCCGCCGAGGCCACACCGCTTCCTAAACCACGCCGCTTCCTGGACCAGACCAGGCCACGCCGCCCCCTAGGCCACGCCGCCTACTAAAAGTTGAAAGGGCGACAGCGACAGTTGAAAAGGTTTGACCTAATACTAAATTCTCCCCATATTCCAAGGTGACTATACATATATACGACAACAGACGCCTCTTGACGATAACTAGTAAGGAGAACTTTCAGCTTGGTCATAGAGCTCAAGAATGTGAAAGAGTTAAAAACTAAAGCTTTTATTCTACGCCATAATTATCATAGTAGTTTTTGTTACAGTTTTGCCATAATTATTATAATAGTTTTTGAAATAGTTTTTAACCCAGTCATAGATTTTAATAATTCCATCTTTTAGTTAGGTTTTTATTCTTTTTAATCATATGCAATTGTAAGCGCATTGAGAATTCTAAATGCGCAATAAGAACCTTTTTATTATTATCATTATCATTATCATTGTCATTGTCATTGTCATTGTCATTGTCATTGTCATTGTCATTATCATTATCATTATATTATGAATTGTGCCACATCATACTCCTTATTCCAAAATGGCGGCCAATTTATTATTCTTTTGTTTGCATGTTAATTA